GTGCGCTTCTAACGATGTATAACATGCACATTTACGCCGCTGCGCAAAGGTACCAGTGTTGTTCGTGTATAATGGTCATTTCCGTCTCCAACGTGCTGTGGGCGGAAGATGTTTTCCGCATAAATTCATTATGCAAAGGTGGATTCTTAATATCTATAGCGCATTTGAAAGGCCTTTCCAGTGCGCTTCTAACGATGTATAACATGCACATTTACGCCGCTGGGCAAAGGTACCAGTGTTGTTCGTGTATAATGGTCATTTCCGTGTCCCATGTGCTATCGGCGGAAGATGTTTTTTGTGCATAAATTCATTATGCAATGTTGGATTCTTAATATCTATAACGCATTTGAAAGGTCTTTCTAGTGCGCTTCTAACGATGTATAACAAGCGCATTTGCGCCGCTGTGCAAAGGTACCAGTGTTGTTCGTGTATAATGGTCATTTCCGTCTCCAACGTGCTGTGGGCGGAAGATGTTTTCCACATAAATTCATTATGCAAAGTTGGATTCTTAATATCAATAACGCATTTGAAAGGCCTTTCCAGTGCGCTTCTAACGATGTAGAACATGCACATTTACGCCGCTGCGCAAAGGTACTTTAGATGTCCGTATATAATGGTCATTTCCGTCTCCAATGTGATATCGGCGGAAGATGTTTTCCGTATAAATTCATTATGCAATGTTGGATTCTTAACATCTATAGTGCATTTGAAAGGTCTTTCCAGTGCGCTTCTAACGATGTATAACAAGCGCATTTGCGCCGCTGTGCAAAGGTCTTGTTCGCGTATAATGATAATTTCCGTGTGCCATGTGCTTTCGGCGGAAGATGTTTTTTGTTCTAAATTCATTATGCATATTACGATTCTTAATATCTATAACGCGTTTTAAAGGCCTTTCCAGTGCGCTTCTAACGATGTGTAACATGCACATTTGCGCCGCTGTGCAAAGGTCTTGTACGCGTATAATGATAATTTCCGTGTGCCATATGCTATCGGCGGAAGATGTTTTCCACATAAATTGATTATGCAATGTTGGATTCTTAATATCTATAACGCATTTGAAAGGCCTTTCCAGTGCGCTTTTAACGATGTATAACATGCACATTTACGCCGCTGCGCAAAGGTCCTTTAGATGTCCGTATATAATGGTAATTTCCGTCTCCAATGTGCTATCGGCGGAAGATGTTTTCCGCATAAATTCATTATGCAAAGTTGGATTCTTAATATCAATAACGCATTTGAAAGGCCTTTCCAGTGCGCTTCTAACGATTATAACATGCACATTTACGCAGCTGCGCAAAGGTACTTTAGATGTCCGTATATATTGGTCATTTCCGTCTCCAATGTGATATCGGCGGAAGATGTTTTCCGCATAAATTCATTATGCAATGTTGGATTCTTAACATCTATAGCGCATTTGAAAGGTCTTTCTAGTGCGCTTCTAACGATGTATAACAAGCGCATTTGCGCCGCTGTGCAAAGGTCTTGTTCGCGTATAATGATAATTTCCGTGTGCCATGTGCTTTCGGCGGAAGATGTCTTTTGTTCTAAATTCATTATGCATATTACGATTCTTAATATCTATAACGCATTTGAAAGGTCTTTCTAGTGCGCTTCTAACGATGTATAACAAGCGCATTTGCGCCGCTGTGCAAAGGTCTTGTTCGCGTATAAGGAAAATTTCCGTGTGCCATGTGCTTTCGGCGGAAGATGTTTTCCGCATAAATTCATTATGCATATTACGATTCTTAATATCTATAACGCATTTGAAAGGCCTTTCCAGTGCGCTTCTAACGATGTGTAACATGCACATTTGCGCCGCTGTGCAAAGGTCTTGTACGCGTATAATGATAATTTCCACATAAATTCATTATGCAATGTTGGATTCTTAATATCTATAACGCATTTGAAAGGCCTTTCCAGTGCGCTTCTAACGATGTATAACATGCACATGTGGAGTATTTTGCAACGGTGCTCCACACATCTGAAATTGCCGCCGTCTGTGGTGTTCGTGTCACCTGCGCCATCAGCAGATGTAGTGTTCGGCTATAATTTATATGTCCATGGTCCGATTTTCACTATGTCTAATGCAGTCGAAAGCCCTCGAAAGTACGCTCCTAACGACGTATAACTCAGCCTCTCCTCTAAGGGTCGCCCCTTCACTCCAATGCAACACCAGCAGTTCACCTTCACGCAATTACATTCCTAAAGTAGCTTCATAGTGAGTTCTTACTCACCTCATTGTCTTCAAACGAGCCTTGATTGACGTCACGTTTGCAGAGGCACTTGTTGTGGTGGGGCACACAGGCTCTGCTCTGATGTTTTGATTGTAATGCCTAATCCGAGAGTTTCTGAGTAAGACATGGAAGCCAACCAAGTGGCGGGAATTACGACTGAAAGCGCCAATCGTTGATCGGTTGTTTAATCGCATAAGTGAATGGGATGAGTGAGTCGTGTCAGGTTTAAGCTACCAACCGGCCTTAATCCATGAATGATTGATTGACTCTGTGACCTCAATGCAGAGCTTAATACAAACACTTTTCAATCGCTCGGGCTATATATACCTAGCAGTCAGATACAAGTATCACAGCACTTGTGCTAACATTGTTTGACACAACTCATTGTTGAAGACTTCATTCAAGCCATGGCCTACACACTTTTTAAAGGTCCTGTTTCAAAGCCCGTCCACTTTGCCATCCTGGGACATAGCTTCGTGCGGCGACTTGATCAAGTCTGTCCCCCTCCACGTGGCATCATCACTTCCGTGCGTGGGATAGGAGGGGCGACTGTCGCTCGGATGAAAGCAGTGGTGGATGCCCTTGATGCAGGTTTCCAGGGCATTGTTTTCTTTCAAGTGGGAGAGAACGACGTGTCGGCGTCAACTGATCCTCAGAACCTGGTTGAGGACTTGCTGGATCTTCTGGACTACCTTCGGTGGAAACGGCCGGGCTCCAGAGCAGTGATAGGAAGTCTGTTCCCGAGGGTAAAACCAAGGAACATGACGGTCTCTGCCTACAAGCGGAAGGTGGAGGAGACGAATCGGCGCTTGAAGAGGATGTTGCGACGCCGTCTGGATGCCACCTTTTGGGACCACAGCCAGCACATGAGGATGGGACCTGCACTGTTAGGCAAGGATGGCGTCCACTTGACGTCAAAAGCCAATGCCCAGTTCTGGCTTTCCATTCGTAAGTGTATGTGTAGGTACGTTTAAACGCACATGCCCTGTCCGGTAGATCATCATTTTATCGTAATTCCAAAACTCTATAATTGTCGTTTCGGCCCATTGTGTTTATATACAGCAGTGGCAAAAGGGGATCCGCGTGTGAGACAATCAGTGCAAACGGGACGCACAGATCAGTCAAATCTGAGCGCACGGGGCTTAGCTTGGGATGGCTTTAAGGGTGGGAAAACGAGACGTCATCCGCACGTGTCGCACATGACGTGAAAGCTAAGACACGGGGCTTTCGATCCATAGTAACCAATAAAAGCCTGTGGTCGATGTACGAAACATAACAAGCATCTGCAGCGTGAAATACTGCCGTAAATCGGGTCTAATCGGGCTTAAAAGCGCCCCGGCTTCGAACCCGTTAAAGACAGGTCACTTCTGATGATACCACCAGTTAGCCCTGGGAACCAGCTTCACGTCGATGTGCAACATGTCAATGGGTTGCGTATATTTGTCGTCCACGCGACGTATAAAAGATGATCGCAGAGCAAGGCTCCTTTCTTGGTAAAAAGACATGTCTATATCACATGGCCAAATGGACGTGGACGTGCAACCAGGTGCCCCACGTCGACCCCGTGACGATCCCAGGTGCCTTGTCGACGTGGCAACATTTTCATATATGATATGCGTGCATATGTTTCTTTCTCCGGGTGCGAGACGATTAGTGCAAGCGGGATGCAGAGATCAAACCCCTTTTGATATGAAATCTGAGCTGTTTTGGCTCCCGTCACACGCACGGGGCTTGGCTTCGGGGGGCTTTAAGGGTGGGAAAACGTGACGACACCCGCACGTGTCGCACATGACGTGAAAGCTAAGACACGGGGCTTTCGATCCATAGTAACGACAAAACCCTGTGGTCGATGTACGAAACATAACAAGCATCTGCAGCGTGAAATACTGCCGTAAATCGGGTCAAATCGGGCTTAAAAGCGCCCCGGCTTCGAACCCGTTAAAGACAGGTCACTTCTGAGGATACCACCAGTTGGCCCTGGGAACCAGCTTCACGTCGGTGTGCAACATGTCAATGGATTGTGTATAGTCGTCGTCCACGCGACGTTTAAACAACAACACTCACCGTTTCTGGCCCGTGATATAGGGCATCGCCAAGCTTTCAGTAACGTGCGCTGCATTGAGGTCAATCGATCAGCTGTTGTCAACATGGCAGCAAGGAAACGTTTTGCCACAACAACTGAGAATGAAATTGAAGCAAAACGTTCTAACGTTGTTCCGGCAATATTTTCAAATTGCAACATTCAACATGTTAACATTGTGTTTAAAAAATGAAGGGTTTTAAAAAACAGAACACTCCCTTCGACTGAATTTTGACTCGTGGCCGTGACCCGTAATTTGTGAACCGTGACATCTCACATAAATAAAAACAAGTCGATTCGATGCGTATTGTTTTCATTTGATTTAGTAAAAACATTCGGCTAGATAAATGCGTTATCACATCGTGTCGAACCCCGTATTTCCCTCGACACGATGTGATAACTTATAGTACTATATCCCTGACCCTACAGGTTATATGTTGAAATAAATACAACGTCAAAGTGAGAGAACAGCAAGTATCATTTACTGATGAAAATTAACGACGACACCGGGTGTTCGCAAAAAGGTTGTCATGCTCTAGCACCCTCGACTTACCCAATTTGCAGAATGTGTGTGTTTGTATTTGACACGGTACAGAAGGAGTCCTACCGACTTCACGTTACAGTCACTATAACTAGCCAGGATAATTCATTTCTTAACACAGCACACAGCCTCGTTTTGAGAACAGAACACAAGTAACCTTCTCACTGACTGACTTCACGGTCGCCACGTCAACATGTCGAAGCTGGAAAGGGTCCGGTCGGAGATAGCTAGCTATGACTACATCAGGTTTGCTATTTGTGACATCAATGGAACAAGTCGTGGTCAGGTAGTTCCAAGCCGCAACGCTGCTAAGTATTTGGAAGGAGGCAATGAAATAATTCAGGGTAAGCTGTGAATTATGTAATCTTTCGTTTATCATTGTCACACGTGTGTGTATGTAATGGAAGATGGCAAAACTTCGACAATGAAGCAACTCTGTACATGAAACTCTTTCACATAGATATTCAGTACAATATCTCAATTAAGTCTAATAGTTGATGCCAAAAAATTGGGATCTATTTAAGTTACTGCTCGAGATTTAAGCAGCCGATACAAATTCAGATATGTGCTGACGAGACAAGAAGTGAGTTGACGTGATATCCGGATTAACAGATGTACACGGTAATTACACTGCTATAATGAAGTATATATGTTCGTGCCTACGTACGTGATTGTGTGGGTGTGCGTGTGCGTTAGAGATGCCACAGTTTAACATGGATACCCGCCCTGACACAGTGTTCTGACTGAAATGAGTCTTCTTTTCCCCTTTATAGCAAGTTCAATCGCCTAAAGGTTTGACGTTTTGATTGTTACTTTGAAAGCGATGTAGTTTGTATATGTTATGTCGAACAGATGCCACATCGAGTAATATAGCATATCTAGGGAGTAATCAATAGTTTTATTAAAAATAAAAACACATATTCGCAACGTATGTCATTTCATATATGCTCTGTTAAGTTTGGGATGTACGTGTTAACCCGTGATTTCAATAGTCGATTAGTTAGATTACAACTGTTTATGTGAAATCAGCCGAACATGGTTTCAGGAGAGGTATGTTTACTGAAGGTGAACTGTCTTATTCTCTCTTAGCTGATACATAACAGTTTCATTCGTAAGTCAGTGTGAGATGACACAACCGCAGTTTTCTATATTCATGTGCAACGACACGGAACCAGAGCATTTGTTACCGACTGAAATGCTATATCAGATATGCGTCGTCTACACGAATACATGAACCTCTGACGTCATTTTGCATTGTGCTGGATATTGGATATCTCTTTTGGGGTAGTATCTAGTCAAGCGAGACACGGGAGACATACCTTTACTTAATTTGTTTTCTTCTTTCACTTGAGCGGTTTGTTATATACTACCCATCACAAGTTTAGACTCACTAAAAGCACTCACTATATGTTATGTATATATATAATATATATATGGTTACATCGAAGATAAATTTCTCCACTAACCTGGGGGAACCAACTGCAAACCTTATGTAGATGAACTACACGAGGATCATGCATCTAATTGCAAAAAAAAGCATGTGCAAATATCGTGCATGTGAAAAGCTGCATTTTGGTGTAAAGTATTGTTAAGAATTCGCCAAGTTTCACAGTTTCATCATTTATTGAACTCATGCCAATAATCTTTCCAACGTTACGAATGCGTTTTACAATACATCAGTTCATGTGTAAACAGTACCTTTAAACAGTGTGGAATATTTTGCAAAATCTAGTTTGTAACAGTTGACAGAAGTTAGTGGCCTTCATTTACACTAGTGAGTGTAAACTTTTGATGGGTAGTATATATTCTCGATTAGCCTACACGTGTCGAGTTGTATTTTTGCGTTAGACATCAGTGACTTATATCACGTTGTGTGACGTCACCGCCACGCGTTATACCCAAACCAGCTACAACTATATATCTGTTGCCAATTGAACTTACATATCACTGAAAAGGTTTGGATATTACACAAGGACACTACACTATATTCGTTGTCAGCATATTGCGCTGTTCTTGACGCAATGCCTACCTGTAAAATTAGAAACAGAATTTGTTTAAGTACCTTATAACAGGTTTTAAATGTTTAGGTAGGACACCATACACATATGAATTGTCACCTGTAATGGATGCAGCATTGCAAGTAACTTTAGATGTCGGTGAACACGCCACAGATAAAATGGCGACACGAAGAAGCAGTAGTTATTGTATGCCTGCCAGGAAATATACATTTGAGGGGCCATGTGACCACAGTTTGAAATAAATATATCATTTTGCCTCCAAATTTGCAAGTTTGACGCATTTCGAAAAGGAAAAATCTATGTAAGCGATTGTGAACCACTATGATATATATATATATATACGCACAAAATGTCCAAAATAGTACAGGTGTTCAGTCGTAAATATCACATAGATAAGTAAAAAGTAAAAACAGAATGCCTTTTTCTCCAACATGTTTCGTACTTTACTCTTCAGGGAGATTGTCTAGATATATAAATGCTTTACAAGCTACCCATCTGGGGTGAGTGAGGGAGTGTGGTTTTACTCCGCTTTTAGCAACATCCAGCAATATCACGGTGGGGGACACCAGAAATGGGCTTCACAAATTGTACCCATGTGAGGAATCGAACCCGGGCCTTCGGCGTGACCTATTGTATGTTGAAGGTTAAAGACACTAAGTAGCAGGTGGGCGTTCCAAGACCTTGTGTACACACAATTATAATTAAGAATGGGACTTCCTATGCCCAAGTTCTAATGATTTGTGTGTGAGTTCCACCAAATTGGAAGTAAATGTGACTAAACTGAAGCCATAAGCTGTTCCAGAAATCTTCACGAAGGGGTTCAACGTTAAAACAACAAATAACAAAGAAATGCTACTCTATATAACCTACGTTTTAATATCATTCTAAATTACTGCAGTGGGCAATGGAGTGCCAGTATAGAATGCAATGGCGGATAAATTACATGACCAGAGGTACACAATGTCAGTGATAATAATACTCAGCCAGCAGCAACCGTCGTCAAGGTTCCAAAATAGGCAAAGGCTGGATATCAAGGGTTGGCCTTTATGGAATGTTACAAGAGAGGGGCATCTGCTTTCCCACATACATGTATAAAGGAAAACCAAGTTCTACGGATAGTCAACTTCTTTATTGCAATGAGAGAGCCCTGTCGGTGTAGATACTAACACCGTTATCATGCAAGTGATACAAAGAGTTGTAACAAGGAGAATATATACATGGCCGCACAGTGAGTAATATATATAAATGTATATATGTGTGTGTGTGTGTGTGTGTGTGTGTGTATATATATATATACATGTATATATAAATATATTGACAAGGTTGATATACATTGGATTGCTAATAGTGATTTTTTCACACGAAATATTCTGATGAAGTAAATGTATTTCAATAAATGAACTAGCCACCCCTCTTGTATCCTTAGCCATAGACCTTAGGGAGTTCTAAGTGTCATGATATACAATGACACAGCAAAAATAACTTGGTTTCCGCAATGCGGAAACCTGGTGGAAAGTGGACTGAAACTTAAGTTTCCACCTAGAATCCAGTGAGTTTCCGGTTTTTTACATTGAGTTTCCGCAATAACGGAAAATTACAATTACCCACTTTCTAAGGGTTTCCGCAAGGTTTCCGTTACCCACACTCCAACAGGTTTCCGCAAGGTATCCGTTACCCACACTCCGACAAGTTTCCGTTGAGTTTCATTTAACTTTGAATCCATCAGGTTTCCGCAAGGTTTCAGTTATTAATAAGACTCCAACAGGTTTCCGCAGAGTTTCAGTTACCAACTATTCGACATAGTTTCCGCATAATTTCAGTTACCGGTTTCATGTTCAGGTTGACAGGTTTTCATATGCGTTTCAAAGAACCAAATTTAAACATTCTTCTTTACTCATATCATAAACTCTTGTTAAAAACAATATACCGGTAAGCAATTTGTTATCATGACATTTACTTAAAAGAAAAACAGAATATATAATAAGATTCATTGTTTTATTTTCTCAACATGAATATGAATTAGCATTTAAGGCAAATAAAGATCATACATATAACTAGTAATATAGCACTAAAAAAACAGGGCAAAACATTTTGGCATAACTCAATCCAGTTTAAGAAATCATATATCATTTATAACAAATGGTAATTTTTCATCAGTTAAACTTTCATTCACTTATTATCTTGAAATAGCATGTTAGATATGAAATTTATTTCTAAAATCATGCTAATGGTGAAAAATAACATTAACATACAACTTAACACAGTAATAAAACATAGCTGTATCGGACATTTATTTGCACGCCTTGGCATTCAGCCACACACTCTATGTCACAACTATCGCCAAACATCCACTATGATATACACCATACAATAACACAACATACAGCTTACAATACAAAAATAAAATAAAAATTACATTATGAAATTGAAAATAAATTCAATTATATTGCAAGAGTTGGTCAGTTAGCCCAATAAGGGGCATCCCTGGGTGGAGATCCCTCCGGTTGATTGATGCCTCATCCTCGTCCTCACGTTGGCCATGACGAGAGCAGTGGAGGTGTAGATTCTTTCCAAGTCCAGTGTCGTCGTGTATGCCCTAAGCTTGCTGGACTCCCAGACAAAGGGGACGGAATGCAACTAATTGACGTCATCTTCGTCACCACGACTGGTGATGTCATGTCTATGGTGAGTGTTGTCGCTACCTTTTTCTTTTTCGTCTATCTGGCCAATCGATAGATGCAAGTCTGTTTAGGCGTTGTGCAAGTTTCTGAAAATGGCAGGTAATAACGAATTACTAGGTTATTTTGATAAATTACACAAACATCAATCAACAAGAAACTGACAATGCCAAGGATGATTTAAAATAAGTAATCCAAAAGGAAGTTTGAATAAAAGAGAACTAAATTGAACAATCACACTTTGCACTAGTTTTCTCAAAACTCAAATTATGCAATTCATCACACTTCATTGACCGAATGAAATATCTTATTTTCTAAAGAGGACACACAATCTATACAAAATTTGCTCTGAAGTTACATGCTTCCCAGTCCAGAGGTAGTAATACGTTATATATATATATGAACATTTATTGCATTTTCTATATAGTAATAATGATACTAGTAATAGATTTCCATCAAATTGCTATATTCAATCTCTTACAGTTCGTATTGAGCCCATTTCTGGTGTCCCCCGCCGTGATGTTGCTGGAATATTGCTGAAAGCGGCGTAAAACCAAATTCAGTCAGTCAGTCGTATTGTTGAAGGCACAAGTATATTCACCCAGTAGTGACTGTATGTTTACACCATTAAGTCTTTGAGGTGTATTT